AGGATTAAACATAGTTGTAGGCACGGCAGGGAACCGTTGTGCCAGTAATATCATGCCTGACTATTTAAAAGCAGATACGGTGCACATGGCCCAATTATGCCTGATCCTGCCTCTCTGCAGCTTTTTTGAATTTCCTTCCTCTTCCACATCTCTGTGATTATGTTAATTGTATTTCATGATTTAGCTCCCTGGTGTTTTAGTTTTATCATGTGATGTTAAAATGCAATAACATGGTTGCAAGTCATTGAGTGAAATGAACTCACCTGTCGGGGTGTCCGGGTGACACACTGTGTGCCAAGGGAGCCCCATTACCCTGCTCTGCAGAGGAGGCCAACCCGAGGAAGGTTTAATGGGGGAAAGCAAAACCTTGAGATGACAAGGATGTTGATAGCCATGGGAAGCAACAGCAAAGGTAGGTAAATTTACTGTCTCTGTGCCAGAGCATTGGATTACTATCATTTATTTAGGCATCTAACCCAAGAGGCAGCAAAGTTACAACGAGATAAGGAAACACCACCCATACTGGTTTTGTAAGAGTTGTGGCTCCTTTCCCTCTGGGACTGTGCTTAGTTTATGATGGCTGCACCTCCTGGAGTTAGCTTTATTGCTCATGTAAACATTAGTTATTGTCAGAGGGAAAATAAGTGCTGTGCAGGAAGGAGATGAAAGCAGCTGAGAATCTAAAATAGACATGTAAAAACTCATATTTATTAAGTTAACCCTTAAATGTTTGCCAGCCAGTGATTTCAAATGGATTCAGGCTCCCAGTTCTGCTACAGAGGACTTGCATTTCCTTGTGTATTTTATGGAACTGATGGCTTGCACTTAATAAGTTAAAATGCTACAAACTACATAAACAAGCACAAGACGCCCCTCCCTGCATGGATGCTTGTAATTTAATTGATATGCGTTACAGAATGGCAGGATAATTCTTCATGGATTAAAAAACTGACAATAGTGTTTATCAGAGCAAATGCCTATTTGCATTCCCTCACCCTGTTTTTTAAAGCTGTTTTCCTCGAGCAGGCAGCTCTGCTGAGGCTGTTGGCAGGTCCGTTGGTAAGCTTTGGCTGCTTGCAGAAAAACAGAAGACAGTTTTTAAGATCTTATGCTAAATACTAAACAGGGAATGGTTTTTAATCCATTTTACATCCTGTTTGCTACAGGAGGGTATCTGATCCTTACTTCCTTTTAAATGAAAATTCATTCTTTGAAACAAAGGAAGAATGCAGATGGAAACCTGGAGGGGCTGAGCCTGAGAAGCGCTGAGTGGGAACCCCTCGCACCCCGTACCTGCAGCAGCATGTCCTTAGAGACATATCTCCTGTGGGAAACACCTACTTGGAATGGTGAGATATTGCAGACTATGGTGTTGCCAGATCCTGTGATTTTTGTCACAAGTCTCATGATATTTCTTATTTTCTTAAGCCACAAATGGTAGAGTTGGATGAGTATGTGAAAATCACAGCTTCTATTTAAAAATAAGTGTCTCACACTTGTATTTGAAAGGGTAAGTTTCAGTCCTGAAGACAACAGAAAAAACGCACAAGTCTCTGAAGTTTCTTTGGTGGTAATGACATGATCTGGGGGAGGCCTGACTTGCAATACTTGACGCTGTCAAATGTGTGTATGGCCTTGACATGCCTTCTATGGTTGAAAGAAAGGGAAATCTTGATGTTTTGATCTGGATGGAGCAATGAAGCTTGGGATGGACACCACAGTATTTACTGTAGAGTTAACATTGCTTTCATTGAGCCTTCCATGCAGATTTTTGGCCATGCAGGCTTTCTCCTGGACACCTGGACCTTGGATATTACCCTGGAAGTCTCTAAAGGTGCCGTTTTCCTCAGCATGCTCTGCTGCTGTCAGTCAAACTTTTGGTTATGGGCTAGTATCATTCAAAGTTTCCATGAGAAGTTCAGGACGCGGAGAAAAGGCAGGACTGATGGCTGTGACAACCTGCAGGAGGTGACTGATGCCAGCAGTCTGAAATGGCACAGGAGGGGAAAGCAGGAGCCCTCTGGTTACACCAGACATCGGCTGTAAGAACGGGATATAAAGGACTGATGGCTTGGTGTGGAGAAAAGGCAGAGATCTCTAACAATTTTGCTCCCAAAACATCCCAGTCATCAGTGATGCCTTGTAAGCAGAGTAACTAAATGAATCTGCTATAACTTATTGTCAGATGTAAATGGCTTTTGCAACTATTTATTTTTTTTTTAACCATGTCCCACAGCACGACTTTTTAATAACTTCAATTAAATGGTAGACGTAATTGAATCTTCTGCTTGGAAGGACCAAGAAGAAAATCTGGCAACATGCCAGCTGGTAGCTTTTGAGATGACTTACAGTTGGTACCTCAACAAGAAGCTGTTAAACTGTGATACATATTTCATTTTGTATAGGTATTTAAATACATATTTAAATACTGTAGGGCAATAGTTCTTGTGCCCAGAAGAAACACCTGAGGAAAGAGTAGAAAGCAATACCACCAAAAGTGCTGGACAAAAGTCCAAAAAAGCTAGTGATATGTTTTTAAAATATCCTTGGGACTTGTTCCACTTCATCTTGGGCTCATTTCAAGAAAACTCTTGACAAGACCATGGGCAAGAGCCGGATAACAGCCTCCAATGGGGTAAAGCGAGGTTCCTCTACGACACCTTGCTAAACTCTCGCTGCGGGTGGAGCAGTACCTTTCAGATTTAGGGTGGTGTTTTGAGTTACATTTCACAACACATGACTACATAAAATCTGATCAAATCCCATCATGCCAAAAGTGATACAAGGAACCTAATTTGTTTCTTCCTTCAGTAACATAAAGAGGTGATCTTTCCTACTTACTGTTTTGAGGACTGCTATTATTAAGGGAGAGATGAATGACAGAGCCAGTGTTGAAAGGTCCAAAAAGCCCCAGCACCCCGGGCTGCATCCCCAGCAGCGTGGTCAGCAGGGCGAGGGAGCAGGGGGATTCTGCCCCTCTGCTATGGTCTGGGGAGACCCCCCCAGTGCTGCCTCCAGCTCTGGGGCCACCACCAGCAGAAGGACATGGAGCTGTTGGAGCGGGGCCAGAGGAGGCCCCGGAGATGCTGGGAGGGCTGGAGCCCCTCTGCTGGGAGGGGGGGCTGGGAGAGTTGTGGGGGTCAGCCTGGAGAAGAGAAGGCTCCAAGGAGACCTTCCAGTCCCTCAAGGGGCTCCAGGAAAGCTGGGGAGGGACTCTTGATCAGGGAGGGGAGCCATAGGACGAGGGGGAATGTTTTTAAACTGAAAGAGGGGAGATGGAGCTGAGCTGTGGGGAAGAACTTGTTTGGTGTGAGGGTGGTGAGAGCCTGGCCCAGGTTGCCCAGAGAAGCTGTGGCTGCCCCATCCCTGGAGGGGTTCAAGGGCAGGTTGGAGGGGGCTTGGAGCAACCTGGTCTGGTGGGAGGTGTCCCTGCCCAGGGCAGGGGGTGGCAATGGATGGTCTTTAAAGTCCCTTCCAACCCAAACCATTCTGTGATGCTATGATTCTATAATTATTCCATGACCAAGAGCCATTTCTACTACTGCTACACCCAAATTGTACCAGCTGGTGGGAACACTGTATAGTCCCCAGCGCCCTGCATGTGAAGATATTTCAAAAGCCAATCTTCATTCCTGGTAGCTAACGCTAATGCAATGACGGAAACATGAAACTCTTCTGGCACAGCAGCAAGTGAGGCAGTGAAAGTTCGTCTGGTGTAAAGCAGAGCAGAAGCAGCTTGTTCCCTGGATCCCCAATGCTATACTTAAGCATGTGTGTGTTCACACTGCTCGTGTTTCAAGGTCAAGGTTATACGGAAACGCTCAGTGGTGTTTCCCACAGGAGGTGTGTTACTTCTATGAGCTGGAGTCTGCAGTAGCTTCTAATCCATGCCTAGATGATGGCCTTTAATTCCTAAAGCTGGTGGGCTGCGCGTTGGCTGCGTACCATCCTGTCTGTCCTTCCTGGCCCGTGGGGGGCAGGTGAGGCACCGAGCTGGCGGGGTGATGACTTGCATGTGAGGACACTGCAGACAAAATGGCTTTGTTCTCTCCCTGCAGCTCTGCTGAATGTCAGTTTGCCACATCTGTCAGCTGTTTATTTATACACCTATTTTAAGGGGCGGATGTTCAAATGGCTTTATTTGCTTCCCGCCCGCCTTCACGGAGTGTCAATGTTTGGGGTTTTTTAGAAAAAAAAATATTAGTTGAGTATTTTTTCTCATGTATAATTTGATTTTTACTTTACAAGGGATTAGATATTGAGCTAAGTGTGGTTTTGAACATCTATGTGAAGCTGGTTGTTCATTATCCCATGTACAACCTAACAGTCAACACAGTAACTTCTGTAATATTTATCAAGATTAATGATCAGTATACAATGGCTTATTCTAGATGCTGGCTTTTCCATTGTGCCGGGATTGAAAGGTCCTCAATTTTTCCATTATCTGCATCATCTTTTTGTTTTACCAACACCATCAAAATTTCCAAGGATAGGGCATCACACAGCAGAATCAGGGAGGGGGGTGAATTTCACTCATGTAATGAATATAAGAAGTTAAAACTGACCAGAGATTTCCAGACCTGTGGATGCTCCAGGCTATGATTTCACACAGGTCAGTTCTCTTCAGGTCTGATAGTTTGGCTTAGCTGGTTGGGAACAAAACGCTGAGAACTTGTGGCACAGCTTCTGCCTTTGTGTTTGGAGTCAGAGAAATGTTTTTCTTCATGTCCTTCTAACCAAAGAAGAAATGAAAGGCGATTATACCAATATAACTGATTGTATAAATAAGACTGGAAAATTATCCGTTCTATACACAAAGCAATCCTAGAAATTGTTAGCACTAAAAAAAAAATATAGAAATCCCATAACTTTGAGTAAATAAGCACCTTGCTTTTCAGAGCTGATTACACATCCCTTAAAACCGACAGCAGCCTGCCCCGGGAGCCAAGGAGCACCCCGGTTGGCAGTGCCGGGGTGACCCCGCTGGCCGTGACGGCCGGACCCGCTCCTCCCAGTTCACTTTCGCTTCTCCTCCCGCAGTGACCTCTGCTCACCCAGGAGGACACCACGCCGGCGGCCCCGCGGTGCGTGTGCTGGGCACAGCACGAACCCGGGAAACCTATGGATGATGATCTACAAGACATGTAAGTGCGTCTTTGTAACGAGGAACTCGGGTAAATGAGCGGGCTGGGAAGTGGGAATGTGCCGGAGCAGAAGTGCAGCGGCAGCAGAGGCAGCGGCTCTGACGGGAGTGGCCAGCTGGTCGCTGCCGTCCTGGGGTTTTTTTCCTTCTTAGAGTCTGTTTTTATAAATGATTATCTAAAACTTGCTGAAGGGAGCTTAGTGTGTAATCTGAGCTTTTAAGAGATACTCCATTGAATTTTTTTAAACACAAAGAAAGACTTTGTTAAAGGAACTGCCTACGCTGGATCTGGATTTAATTTGTTCCTAAAGAGATCCAGTCCCCTTCAGCTGTGGGAAAATAAGAAACCATATTGTGATTTAACAATTAACAGATAAAACAAGAAAACACTACAGGCTGATGCTGCCAGGACAAGGGTAATATTTAGTAAATGAAATAATTCACTCAAATAAACAAATCAGTCGCTTTAGCGGGGGGGAAACAGTAATGGCTTTTGAGATTAGCTAACCAGGAAATATATCTGCTGTCCTTTAGACGCTGGAAAATAAACCATTGTTGGGCGGGTCACTTCTCTTAGACACTAAATTAGGAAGAGATCAATCTGAAATGAATCACGGCGTTTGGGAAAGGAGCTGGGCTCTGTCAATGTGGCACGGCTGCTGTCAGCAGGAGGGAGGGCTGAGCACCGTGCCGCTCGGTCCGTGAAAATCAGCATTACTGGCCTCTAAAGAGTGTAAGGGTCTCATAGCACTGTTAGCACAGTGCTCGTGGCTGTTACTGGGGCCGAGTGTCCGTCCCCCCTGTCCGACTGTGCTCTGTGAATGTCATCGAGCGTACCCTGGGAGGGGATTCGGTGGCCCAGCTCCTGCCAAGCACACGGGAGACCCTCCCTGTTGCCCCCGCCACGGCCGTGAGGCTCCCGGGGACCCGTCTTTCCAAGGCAAACCTAAGAGCGATAGGGTTGCAGAAGTCCTGCGTGCCATGGGCATGAGGAGGAGATATATTTGTATGTTGATTCTTGTATCATTATCTGAGCCTGTAGGACAGAAATACCTCCAGGCAATGTGGCACTGTACACTGCAACACTCCTGAATGGTTGATTTTCACTTCCATTTCACTCACAGTGCTTGGAAACACTGTCTCCTAAAAAAAGTTTAAGATTCATATTAGAGATTTCAGTCTATGTCACGTGAAGATGACCAGGTTTTCAGTTTTGTAGTTCAGATTCTGGTAGCAATTCCAGGGAAACTTTTTAGCAGAGCACAAAATGCAGTGAATCCCCAATGGTATAAAACAGTCATAAAAAAATTCTCAGCATGCCATGCTACCACTGCCTCTTAGTACCAGGCAACACCTCTTGCTGTAATATTTTAATATACATATGAAATAGTCTTAAAAATTTATGATGAAAGGAGTTATAAAATGACAATTTCCTTTCCACAAGATGCCTCTTCCTGTTACTGCCAAAAATCACCCTGATACAGGCATGATCGATGCCTTCATGTGCAATAATGATAATTTAAAAATCTGTTTTAATGCTATTCAGAAGGTCTGGATTCCTGAGGGTAAATGGAATAAATTCAGGATGTTTATACTCTATTCATCTCCCCAAGGACATGCACCATAAATGTCACAGCATTTGATAATACTAAAAATATTTCAGTGAGATTTTTTTTTTTTCCATGTTCTTAACACTTTCTAGAGAAAAAAATGGATGCTTTCATTTGTGGTATGGAGGTACAGAGCATTATTTTCAAGAGTAAATGTAGGGATTTAGGTACCTCATTTGCTAAGGGAGGTGCTTGTTCCAGCGGCTGTGGCTGTGCTCACCAGAGAAGCCTCCGCCATGGGCTCCTGGCAGCCGTGTCCGGGGCGCGCAGGGGTGCGCCGTGTGCTGCTGGGTGCCACGCCACGCTCTTTGGAGAGCTGTGCAGGGAGGGAAGCCCCGCTCTGGCAGGGAAGGCACCAGACACAAAGGCCAGAGTACCAGAGAAAGAACCATAGAATCATAGTCAGAGTTGGAAGGGACCTCAAAGATCACCCAGGGGAGTTCCAACCCCCCTGCCCTGGGCAGGGACACCTCCCACCAGGGTTGCTCAAAGCCCCATCCAGCCTGGCCTTGAACCCCTCCAGGGATGGGGCAGCCACAGCTTCTCTGGGCAACCTGTTCCAGTGCCTCACCACCCTCACAGTAAAGAATTTCTTCCTAATATCTAATATCAGTTTCCCCTCTTCCAACCTCTTAAAACCGTTCCCCCTTGTCCTGTCACTGCACTTCCTGACAGGGTCCCTCCCCAGCTCTCCTGTAGCCCCTTCAGGTATTGAAAGGCCGCTATAAGGTCTCCCTGGAGCCTTGTCTTCTTCAGGCTGAACAACCCCAGCTCCCTCAGCCTGTCCTCACAGCGGAGGTGCTCCATAGAATCATATAGAATCATAGAATTATCCAGGCTGGAAGGGACCTCCAAAGGCCATCTAGTCCAACCCCCCCGCAGTCAGCAGGGACACCCCCAACTAGGCCAGGTTGCCCAGGGCCTCGTCAAGCCTCTCCTTGAATATCTCCAGGGATGGGGCCTCAACCACCTCCCTGGGCAACCTGTTCCAGTGCTCCACCACCCTCACAGTGAAGAACCCTCTCCTCATCTCCAGTCTAAATCTGTTCCCCTCCAGCTTGAAGCCATTGCCCCTCGTCCTGTCACTGCAGGCCTTTCTAAACAGGCTCTCCCCAGCCTTCCTGTAGGCTCCCTTCAGGTACTGGAAGGCTGCTATTAGGTCTCCCCGGAGCCTCCTCTTCTTCAGGCTGAACAACCCCAGCTCCCTCAGCCTGTCCTCATAGCAGAGGTGCTCCATCCCCCTGATCATCCTTGTGGCCCTCCTCTGGGCCCTCTCCATCAGGTCCATGTCCTTCTTATATTGAGGGCTCCAGACCTGCACACAATACTCCAGGTGAGGGCTCATCAGAGCAGAGTAAAGTGGAAGAATTACCACTCCATCCCTCCATCCCTCTGATCATCTTCGTGATCAGAAGTTATCGGGAAGAAAGGCTCAGGTCTGTGTGGGTGACCCTGCCAGCTGAAATCCTGCCCCAGGACACACAGGAAGGCCCCCCCAGGCCCCAGCTCCGGGGTTGTGCTGGGTATGGCACTTCCTCCGCGACACCACCAAGTGGCAGCACTTGCAAACTTCCAGCAAATTCTCTTTTTTCATGTTTTGGTTAAACTCCCAGGCTAGCTGTAGCTGTCTCTCGCAAGAGGGTCTACAGGGTGTATCCAAGCACAAAGTCAAGCCCTCACCAAATCCTTTCTTACCTCCTATTTGGCAACTCGTTCCTGCCTCGTAGGCTTCTGAAGTCACAGCTCTCAGTCAGGACACATGGACTTCCAGCTTTGCTGCTACAAGTTCCCAGGACACAGCACCACTTGCAGCCAGGGGCTGCACCTTTCATTATCCCTCTGTTTCAGACAGCAAGGAGGCAAAACAGGGCAACCCTCCCAGGATCTTGTGAACTCGTGTCATCCGGGCAATGGAGGTGTCTCCTGGGCGAGGGTGTGCCTCGCTGCTCGGGGACTTGCTGCTTCCAAGAAGGAAACTTTTGACCAGAGGTGTCTGTGGGAGGGCAGTTGTGTGGTTGAAGCATTTTCTGCCCCAGTCCGGGGGCAGCTTTGCCTCCTGTGGTTTTAATCCCTCTGGAAGATTTCTGTCCCTCTTCAACAGAAACAATTTTTTCATGGTTTCAACACAAGTCATAATTACAAATCACCCTGTGTCTTTACCATATTCGAAATCCGCCTTTTCCAATCCATTACAAAAATAGCAGATTTTGCAGTTTAAAAGATCTGTAGTAATAAATAAAGGAAGGAGAAAATTGCTTCCTTTATCACAATTTGGAAAGCTAAGGCTCAGCCTTGCTCCTCTGCAGCCTTTATACCCAGGAAGGTACATTGTCCTCCAAACCTCGCTTGGCAATTAAATGCTGATGAAATTTTGTGGTAACAGGAGTTTTTAAAATGCACAGTTTTCCTTGTGCTTCTTCCCTCACAAAGTTAATATATCCCAATTAATTAGAAGCTTCACTGGAAGCTTTTTCTTGACTGAGAGGTATCATCTCTGCCCCTCGGACTCTAATTAATTTGCCTTACACGTTGTAGTCGCGTGGAAATGAATGTGGAGAGCGCTGCGGCACAGGAAAAGCCACTAATTGCACAGGGACGTGATGAGGTGTAGCCGCGGTGTCCCGAACAGCTAATTACTTGCCGAGAAGTACATCGCGGCGTTGCCGACGATGCAGCCAAGCGCTTTGGCCCCGAGGCCCTGCGCGGCCGGAGGGGTGCAGCCATGGCCGGGGGACGCGCTTCGCCCCTCCGGGCCGCTGGGGACACGGGCGACCCGCGGCCACGGGCTGCACGGGCCCCGGCCGCTCCGCCGCCCCGGGCCGCCCCGCCAGCGCCTC